GAGCTTTGTGAATGGCTTAGCCGTTTGTAGATCCCTTTGGTACTGGTGTCTCTCCCTGTCCCGCTGCTGTGACAGGAAGGGTTACAAGTCCTTTACAGCCTGTGCCTGACTGGCATCGTGGCTCTCTTGGAAACACTGAGTTCACTGAATAAATATTTATTGAACACTGACTGCAGGCTGGGTGCCCTGCATGGGGAAGAACAGAGTCCAATGTTCTCGGCTCCAATAAAACCTTGTCACCTTCCTTATTCACTCCAAGTTCCTTCAGCGGAGGAATGCACATCCGGGTGATCTGGCCGAAGGAAGGCTAAAGTATCTCTTCTGGGATTTGATTTTCTAAAACCTCAACTTTGAGATGATGTAGGAGGTTAATAGGTAGTTGTGAGAGAGAACGCAGAGCCGTGCCGGGTGGTGCATGCGTTTGATGCCAGCACTAGGGAGGCAGAGGTTGATGGATCTGAGTTATACAGTAAAAACCTGTCCCCAAAAGCAAATAACGCAGAGAGGTTCCATGAGTCTTCTCTGCAGCTCCTTTGACAAAATCCTGCACAGAAAGCTGGGGCGGAGGCCTGGGAAAGTGCTCAGCTAGTCAGGCACTTGTCCCAAAAGCATGAGTTCGACCCCCAGAACTCGGATTTAAAAAGAAAAATCAGATAGAGTGACATTCACTTGTACTCCTTCTGGGGAGGAGGAGATGGGTGGACCTCTGGCAGCCTAGCCTCCTTGGTAAGGAGGAGACAGGGAGGAGGTCCTGTCTCAAGAAGAGTGGCGTCTGAGAGATAGCCAAGGCTGTCTTCTGCACTCACACCCAGATGTGTGTGCACCCGGATGTGTGTGCACCCAGCTGACACTATAGGACCGACAGGAGATTGACCCCGCCCGCTGGAACGAGGTTTTCCAGACTGGAACCCACTAGGTGGCTGGCGGTGTAGTTCAGTGGGCAGAGTGTTTGCCCAGCATGCACAAAGTGCCGGTTCCATCTCTAACGTGGGTGCCATCATCCTAATGCTATCACCCTTAGCTGCCCTGTGAATCTGGTTAGCCTAGGCGAAAAGACCCGCCTCCCCCCCAGCCTGTTGATCTCGACATGAACAGAGTGCTATATTCTTCACAGGAATTTACAAAATGGGTTCATTACACAGGGAAACCTTGTCTTTTTGTTTTGTTTTTTGAGTCAGGGTTTCTCTGTGCAGCATCTCTGACTGTCCTGGAACTCACTCTGTAAAGCAAGCTGGCCTCAAACTCAGAGATCTGTCTGCTTTGGCCTCCTAAGTGCTGGGACTAAAGGTGTGTGCCACCACTACCTGGCTAGATGTTCTTCTAGATGATGTGAGAACAATGAATTTATATTCATGGGCTAGCAAGATGGCTCAGTGTGTAAAAGTGCATTCCTGCATTGGGTTCCCAGAAACCATGGACAGGTAGAAGAGAGCCCAAAACTTGTCCTCTTGCTGACATGATGGTACACACCTTTAGTCCCAGCACTAGGGAGACAGAAGCAGGTAGAAACCTGTGAGTTCAAGGTCAGCCTGATCTACCAAGTGAGTCAGGACATCCAAAACTATGTAGAGAGACCCTGCCTCAAAAAAGGGGGAGGGGGGCTGGAGAGACATCTCAGCAAAGTGCTTGCCATGCAAGGTTGAAGACCAGAGCTTGGATCCCCCAGAAACCTTCATAAAATCCTGAGTAAGCAGTAGCTGTAACTCCAGGCTTAGAAGGCAGAGACAAGGGATCCGCAGAGCAAGCTGGCTAGTAAGACAAGTCATATACTCAGGCTCTGGCTTTGATTGAGAGACCCTGCCTCAATTAATAAGGTAAACTAGTCATTGAGAATTGTTCTTGACATCAACCTCAGGGCCTGTAAATGCACTAGATCACAGACACTCTTACACATGTATACACACACATGCATATCACATACACACACACACACACACACACAAAGTGGAAAAGAGAGATAAATAAAAAATGGAAGCAGGTTTAACAGTTTGCTGGTCAGAGGGGAGTCTGTTGCCCAGCTCAGGAAGGTCTGTGCCGCAACTTTGGACATCAGTGCAGGCTTGCACGAACCATCAGCATTGCAAGTTTGCATTGTGCTCCTGCCCTTGGCCAGTGCCTGTGAAATAACGTGTAAAGGACTGAAGGAGACAAAGGTGACAGTCTTAGGGATTGACTCAGTGCACGTTGAGCACTTCCTGGGCCTGAAGGGCCCATGACTCCTCTGTATCAGCAAAAATGCCTGCCAGAAGAGCAAGGCTTGGTCTCTGACCATGTACTGCAGTCACACGACGAGCTCGGGAAAGGACAGGCCCAGGGAGGAGGTGAGCTAAAAACACCAGCTTTGGGGATCCTGGCTGGAACTTGGGACAAATGAGTGGACCTTTCTGAACTCTTTCTTCTTATCTGTTTCATGGGATTGTAAGAGGATTCAATGAGCCTTTGCATGTAAAATGTAACTAGTTACCTAGGACACTGAGGCAGGAGGATGGCAAGTTCGTGGATGTCTCGCCAATTTATCAAGACCTTGTCTTAAAGAGTTATTTTTTTCCTTTCCCTTCTTATCTCTTTGTCTCCTCCACTAAAAACATATTTGTCTTTATTTGCATGCACGCGCACGTCTGTGTGTGTGTGTTTGTGTGTGTATGAGAGAGAGAGAGAGAGAGAGAGAGAGAGAGAGAGAGAGAGAGACTTGACTCTATGTGTCCTACGTGCATCCAGGCATTGAGTCTTGCTTCGGCCCATTATAAGTCTTTCGTAGGCACTGGGTCAAGGGAGCATGAACAAAGAGCAAACACAGACTGTGGCAGTGCTGGCAGCTTGTGCAATCATGCCCTGATTTGCAGAGTTGCAGCACAGACTTTCCCGGACAGAAGCAAGAAGACAGAGTCAGAACCAATGGAGCTGAAGTTCCAGGTAGTGAGCGAGCTGTCCGGTGAGGATACTCGGAAACGGATCTGAGTCCTCCGTGAGGGTAGGCAGTGCTTCTAAGAGCTGAGCCGTCCCTCCAGCCCTCTGCCATATGTTCTGTCACAACAGGGAGAATAGGCTAACCTGAAACTCTCCGTGTAGATGAGGATGACCTTGAACTTCAGATCCTCTCTTTCTTAAGTGCTGGGTAGTTGGCGTGTACTATCATGCCCGATTTTATGTTATGTTGGGGACCGGACCAAACCCAGGATCTTGTGAATGCTAAACAGGCACTCTACCAACCAAGCTATGGTTCCAGCTCTTGATATATTGAAATTAATCTTACCTGGTGTGCGTGTGTGTGTGCGTGTATGTGTGCGTGTGTGTGTGTGTAAGAGAGAGAGAGAGAGAGAGTGTGTGTGTGTGTGTGTGCATGTGTGTACGTGCGTGTGGTGCATGCATGTGTGTATGTGCATGTGTTGCTATGGGCTAAGCCCAGGGCTTTGCATATGGTAGATAAACATTGAGATACATCCCCAGCCCTTTACTTTTATAAATGTGCCTTTTAGTTTAATTAAAGATACATGTCTAGCTCTACTCTATTTCACAAGGCTACACAATATCACTTCTTCATATGATTCACTCTCAACTCCACCCCGCTGAGTCCATGGTGGAGCTGCCAGCACCTTCGAAAATGCATGCACTCTACATTCATTGCTATCCTAGTACGCTCCCCTCCTCTTAAGTTGTAACCTTAGCAAATAAAAATACTCAAATATGAAACCAGGCAGACTCTGTGAGCTCCAGGCCAGCCAGTGCTACATCGTAGACCCTTGTCTCAGAACTCAACTCGCAGTGGGCTGGAGCTAAGTTGTAGTAATAGGAGCAGCGGGGCTGCGTTCCCAGCACCCCGGCCACCTGCTCGGCTAGCTTATGCCCCGAAATAATTATATGGACGTTGTATTTTTTTAATTATTGCTTGGCCCATTTCTATCTAGCCTCTTCTAGGCTAATTCTCACATATTAATTTAGCCCATTTCTAATCATCTGTGTAGCGCCCCTAGGTGCGCTTACTGGGAAGATTTTAGCCTATGTCCATCCTGGGTCGGAGCTTCATCGTGTGCGTCTGCCTGGGAGCTGGGGCATGGCATCTCTCTCTGAGGCGTCTGCTTCCGAGCAGAGAGCTGTGGAGTCTGAGCTCACTTCTTCTTCCTCCCAGCGTTCTGTTTACTCCTCCCACCTATCTTCTAACCAATGAGGGCCAAGCAGTTTCTTTTTATTTAACCAATGACCTTCCTCCATCACTAAGTGACCTGGGATGGGATTCCTGCAGTCACTGAGCATCTATAATCCTAGCACTGGGGAGGTGGGGACATCGGGGTCACTCTCGCTTGCGCACCAGCTCAGCTAGTTGAGTCAGTGAGCTCTTCCAGAGATTCTGAGTTTGGTTCCCAGGACCCACATGGTCTCAGTAGCCTGAAACTTCCATGGGACCCAACTCTCTTCTGATTTCTGTAAGCCCCAGCCAAGTGTGTGGTGTACATACATTCGTGGAGGCAAGATGAAGGCGTAAGTCACAAACAATGCCACACCAGTTTGGAATTATGATTAATAGGGTGGTATAGAAAAAGGGGAAGTGATGTGGGAGTGTCATATATCAATCTGTTGATTTCATTGGTTAAGCAATAAAGAAACTGCTTGGCCCTCATAGGTTAAAACATAGGTGGGAGGAGTAAACAGAACAGAATGCTGGGAGAAAGAAGCTGAGTCAAGGAGTCGCCATGATTCTCCTACTCCAGGCAGACGCAGGTTAAGATCATTCCTGGTAAGCCAGCTCGTGGGCTACACAGATTATAATAAATGGGCTAGTCCAGGTGCAAGAGTTAGCCGAGAAAAGGCTAGATATAATGGGCCAAGCAGTGTTTAAAAGAATACAGTTTCCGTGTAATTATTTCGGGGCATAAGCTAGAGCTAGCCATGTGGGCGGCCGGGTGCCGGGGACGCAGCCCCGCCGCTCTTATTACTACAGCAAGACATTTATACACATATGCTAGAATAGCTTCATCTTTAAAAATATAAGATAGAGAATGCTTGTGCTCGCTTCCGCAGCACATATACTAAAATTGGAACGATACAGAGACGATTAGCATGGCCCCTGCGCAAGGATGACAAGAGAAAAAAAAGAAGAAAAAAAAAAAAGATAGAGAATGCTTGAAGAAGACACCAGATTTTTTTTACCTCTGGCCTTGGCCCCCACACACACACGCACATCTTCACACACACACGCACACACTCACACACACACACACCTTCACACACACACGCACACACTCACACACACGCACACCTTCACACACACACGCACACACTCACACACACGCACACCTTCACACACACACGCACACACTCACACACATGCACACCTTCACACACACACGCACATCTTCACACACATGCACACCTTCACACACACACGCACATCTTCACACACACACGCACACCTTCACACATACACGCACACACCAAGGAAAAAGAAAACCTTGAAACAAACAAACAAAAAGAAAAAGAGTTGTGGCTGAGCGGTAGCAGCACAGAACTTTAATCCCAGCACTCGGTAGACAGAGGCAGGCAGATCTCTATAAATTCAAGGTCAGCCTGGTCTACAGAGTGGGTTCCAGGACAGGCTCCATACACAAAGAAACCCTGTCTCAAAAAACGAAACAAGAAAGAGAGAGAGAGGGAGCTGGGGAGATGGCTCAGAGGTTAAGAGCACTGGCTGCTCTTCCAGAGGTCCTGAGTTCAATTCCCAGCAACCACATGGTGGCTCACAACCATCTGTAATGAGATCTGGTGCCCTCTTCCTGACTGTAGGCATCCAAGCAGACAGAATAGTGTATACATAATAAAAAATAAATCTTTAAAAAAAAAGAAAGAAAGAAAGAAAGAAAGAAAGAGAGAGAATTGTGGAGACCTGAAGTAAATAGCCATCCCATGATCAAATGTTGCGTTAAAAGTTTGTTCCCGGGTGCTAAAGAGATGGCTCAGCAATTAAGAGTACTGGCTGCTTTTCCAGAGGACATGGGCTCAATTCCAAGCACCCACATGGTGACTCACAAGACAGCTGTAACTCCAGTTCCAGGAGATCTGAGGCCTTTTTTTGACCTCCATGGGCACTAGGCAGATACATGGGGCATAGGCATGCATGTAGGCAAAGCACATGCACATATAAAATAAAATAAAAATTTTAAAATGTCATCTTAGATGGGTGTACTGGCACAGGCCTTAGTCCTAGCACACGGAAGGCAGGTGCAGGCAAATCTCTGTGAGTTCAAGGTCAGCCTGGTCTACATTGTGAGTTCCAGGACAGCCAGACCTACATGGTGAGATCCTGCCTCAAAATAATCATAATCATCATCATCATAATACTAATAAATAAGCGGTACCAGTCAGGCATGGTGGTATATGCCTTTAATCTGAGCACTTAAGAGGTAGAAGGAGGCAAATCTCCACTACTTCAAAGCTAGCCTGGTCTACATGTTAAGTTCCAGGCTACCCAAGGCTACATAGTGAGACCCTGTCTCAACAACAATAATACTAATAACTAGCTAAGTAATTTTTTTTTAAAGCATGTTCCCCCTTGAGGAGTCTATGAGCGGAGGCACACTAGGGTCTTCATATAGGCTGGTGCCAGGGCAGAGAGCATTAGTGCTCATGGTTCCCAGTGGAGAGAAAACTGCTGTTGACATTGGGGGCAGGTATTGGGACGTGTGTCTTCTGCTCCTCACATTCCCTCTCAGTCCACAGGCCTCAATAGTTGCTTGCTGGCTAAACAGTTCATATATTCAATTCATGCGCTTCTCCTTGGTGCCTGAAACACTGTATGGACTTCCCTTCATGCTCCCTGCGACACGTGTGTGCAGGCACACATATGCCTATCATAGCGTCTGAGCCGCCAAAGCCATCTCTGCAGCGTTGTTATCAACTGTGAACCCACATGGGGCGACAGTCCACACACATCCAGACAACAAGCGCTGATCCCGTTTCCCAGCCTGGTCCTGCCGGACACGGCTGTTGTTCTTTGAAGTGTTTTCTAACAAGATAGACACTGAAGGAATGACCATGTGGTCACCGATGTGGCAGCTTTCCTTCCTTTCTCATTGCTATGAAAAAATACCTGACAGAAGGGGCTGGAGAGATGGCTCAGCGGTTTAAAAGCACTAGCTGTTCTTCTAGACTAGAGGACCTGGGTTCAATTCCCAGCACCCACATAGCAGCTCACAGCTATCTATAATTCTAGTTCTAGGGGATCCAAAACCCTCACAAAGAGTATATACAGGCAAAACACCAGTGTACATTAAATAAATAAATCTTTTAAAAAATACCTTATAAAAGCAATATCAGAAAGGAAGAATTTATTCTGTCTTATAATTCAAGGGGATCCATTCCATGCTGGCCAGAAGGCATGGTGGATGGCAGGAGCAGGAAAGGGCTTGTCACATTTTATCCCCTCCCCATATCAAGAGAGAACAGGAAGTAGGGGCTGGGCTGAGGCTCCACTCTAATGGTTCTTTAATCTTTCCCAACAGTGCCACCCGGTGCTGAGCAAGTGCTCAAACCCCTGAGCCTGTTGGGACAGTTATCATTTAAGCCATAGAGTGTCATGGGGACCCGGGAGCAAGGCTCCTACTTAGGGATACGAAGAAAGAGTCCACGGAGAAGGCGAAGCTTGGCTGGGGATTGTGTAACTCAGCGTCATGATCAGTCATTACCGTCACTGTTTGCAATGGAGGAGGGAAGGAAAAAGGAAGTTTAGTCCACAGCCAGGGCAGGCAGCTATGGCATGGTAGCCTGTCGTGCTGAGTCTCCACACAGGCCTACCCTGGCCAACATGGGCTTAGTCTCTTGGCTCGCATTAATGTAAGAAGAAAAGGCGGAGTCTAAGGGAACCTTCCTTGGTGCCTGGGTAGGAAAAAGCCAGCGCTATCCACATTTTCTTGCCTTTGAATTTGGTGTTTATCAAGGGAAATCTTGTTTTCATTTTTTTATAGCATGTGTTTATGACTTTGAACCAGGAACTTGCCCTCCTAGTGTTCTGCTGGCCCCCGGCTTTATCCTGTTTCCCGAGTTTTGAGGTTGTGTAAGAATTGTGAAAGGGTTTGCAGCCGCATCAAAGGGCAGGAAAGCTACCTGAACCCAGGGCTTCTGGGGCACATGCCTCCCCCTCACACTGCTTGCCCCAGGGAATTCATAGCTCTGCATACCACAATCTGGCTCATGTTCCTCCTCCTAACACCGGCACCCCAGCGTTAGAAGCTGTCTTCATTTCAGCCAAGAAATCATCATAGTCAGAAAGCAAGCAGCCAGTTCTGCCAGCCTCATTCCTAGAAGGAACATGGTACTTAAATTCTGGTGGCTCATGAAATTGACCAGAAGGCTAGAGAGCAAGGCCGTGAAAACAGCCAATGACACAGGACAGCTGTGCAGGAACAGCAGGAGGAGACCCTTCTCTGAGAGCGTCTCACCTGTCCCTGCATCACCATGCCGCGTCACCGAGAGGCCCTCTTCTGGCAGGAGCATCAGGGTGGTAGACTGGGATAGGAGGAGAGGCACTGTCTCCCCAGGACTTACACAATCTACAATCCCACTGAAAATGAGGTGCTCGGCCCTGTTGGGGATCAAGCTGGGGGCAAAGCTGGGCAGGACCTATAGAGGACCCTCTTGTGTGAACCAGAACCCAGATAGGACTCTGCCCCAGGACTGATGTTAGGCTGTGTAGGGAGTGTGCAACACGTTAACTCATGGCCTACTAAGAGAGTAGACCTGGAGACCTGTGTGCATATCCTAGTCCATCTTTGCCCAGCAGGTATGTAGCAGGCTCCCTGTTTTACCAATGAGGAAGTGGAGGTCAGGAATGCTGAGGTAATTTCCGGAGTCAGACAGCTGCTGGCATTCAAATTACGTGTGCTTTTCTGTGGCTCTGGCTTTCCTAGCCCTGGGACACTGAGTTATAGACAAAGCACCTAGGTGTCCCTGCTCTATCGTGAGGAATCAAGGTTGAGCAATGAACTTGTCTGGGGCTCCATCTTTGCTGTCTGCGTAGCTGGGGCCAACTGCTCTTTGTACCAGAATTCCTTCATGTTTCCCGGTTCACACATACATTCCCCTTTTGTCTTGCTAGGTGATTTGCCAGGAGAGTCAACAGTGATGTGTGACCTTGTTTTATTTTTTGCTTTTGTGTGTGTATGGGGTGGTGGTTAAGACAGGGTCTGTCTCCCTGGTTGTCCTGAAACTTACTGTGTAGACCAGGCTGACCTCAAACTCACAGAGATCCCCCTGCCTGTCTCCCAGTCTGTTGGATTAAAGTGTGTGTCAACACACCCAGTTTATAGTTTGTTCTTCTTCAAGTCCAAAAGGTACTAATTAGACTCTCTTTTTCTCTATGATGTGTGTGTGTGTGTTCACAGTTACTCCTGGGACTGCAGAATTTTAAAAAAATATTCCCTGGAATGTAGATCTGTTGTAGAGTTCTTGCCTGCTTGCATGAAGCCTGGGATTTATTTCCAGCTTAATATAAATGGGGCGTGGTATCTCACATCTGTAGTTCCAGTGGAGGCAGAAGGATTCGAAGTTCAAAGTCATCTCTGGCTACAAAGAAAGTTCAAGGCCTGCTGAGTAGTGGTGGTGTACACCTTAAATCCCAGCACTTGAGAGGTAGAGACAGGTTGATCTGTGAGTTTGAGCCCAGCCTGGTCTACAGAGTGAGTTCCAAGACAGACAAAATTACAGTGAATCACTGTCTCAAAAAACAAAAACAAATAAAGAAAAGAAATGAAAAAGAAAGAAGGCTCAAGGCCAGCACTACCTAAAAAACCAAAACCAAAACCAAAAAGCAAAAAACATGTGGATAATGATGTAAGTCAACATATTCACACCTAGGTTTCAAGAGTGAAGTGTGACTAACTGGGCAGGCCCTGGGGTTAAAAACAGAAAGGTTTTCCCGGTAAACCCAGGAGCCTCTAGGCTCTGTTTCCAGAGCCAACAACCGAAATTCACCCCACATGCGCCTGGCATGCACATGGCACGCTGTCCCGCAGTTCTGTGCCAAAGTCCAGCACACAGCTCTCATGCGCAGCCTCGGGCCAGAGCTCCAGACCTGGATCGATGTTCCTGGTGATCTGAGTCCTCCGCGGCAGAGGCCTGA